TCAGCAGGATTCCCAAGTGTGGTGGCAGGAGCAGATAGCAGGACTTTGGGAAAGTTACTGCCTGGGGCAGGAGAGGGGGTGGGAGGCACAGAGACAACCCAGCACCAGCCCCAGAACACACTGGTGGCCCCAGGGCAGCTCATCGGGCTCAGTTTCCCTTTCAAATACGTGCATGAACTTGGATACATTCCTTTGCAAAGTCAGGGAATCTGAGTGGGGGGGGGTGTGACCCCAGCTCTTATAAGGGGTGACCAGGACAAAGCAGTGCCCTGACCACAGCCTGCAGCTCCTTGCAGAGGGCAGCTGGGGGGTGTCTCTCTCTTTTGGGGATCTGAAGGCTTTGAGCACAAGGCTGGTCCCAGTTCCAGGGCTGAAACTCAGCCTGTGCAGCCTCCAGTTCCCACCCCTCCATCCACACAGCCCAGCTGGAGGCTGAACCAAGCCCTCCTAGTGCAACCAGGGGAATATCCACAGCTCCTGTCCCTTCCCAGACCACATGAAACGGGTGTTTGTGGGTCTTCAGAAGTCCCTGGGCTGTGCTCTGGGAGCCTGGGTGTCCCAGCATCAGCAGTTCTCTCTGTGCAGAACCAGCACCAGCACCTCTGCCCCGGGGCCAATCCAGCTGTGGTCAAAGGAGCAGAAAGGCAGCTGCATGTGGGGGAGGTTGGTTGAAAGCTGCTGGTGGAGCAGGACAGCAAGAGACACCAACACAGCCCTGGAAGAGCTGCACACACCTCAGGGAAGCAGCAACGCAGGAAACTCAAGAATAAAAATAGCTGCCTCAGCCTCCCTGAGAACATAAAGAGAACCCCCCTCCCTGCACACACAGAAACCAAACAAGGCAGATGTGGTTGACAGAAAGGGGAAAAGACAACTCAATAAGCAGCAGCTCCCTGCCTGCTCCCCTCCCCAGCCCTGCAGGGCACAGCACAGCCAGGGAACCCACCTTCCAACCAGCTCCCTCAAATGAGACACCCCCGACCCCTGCCCCAGGGCTTGTTCTGCTGGGCACCCCCTGCTGCCACGGCTCAGCACCACCATCCTGCTCCTCACTGGGGGAGCAGGGGACAGCACCAAGGCCCAAAGCGGGGTGGGAAATGCTGTGCCCACCCCCAGCCCACCCGAGGACACCCACCCCACGGGGGGTATCAGCCAGGAGACCCCAGCCAGCCCTCATCCCGCACCAGCACAGAGGGAGCTCAGGGGATGTGGCCAAACCCACAATAAATGAGCCTAAATTAACCCTCCACAGCTCCCCACCCCAAACATCCAGCAATAACTTCAGAAAGGACAAGAATCAGTCTCAGACAAACAACAGATCACCAGCTGCTTGAAGGATACAGTTTTAATCTCCCTTTAGATTAATCTGATTAGAGGGGATACAAACCCGTGTGCCCAGGCTCCCTGCCCCACTGCCTCTGGGCACTGGGCTGTCAAAGCCTCCCCCTGGGATACAACATCAAGGCAGATATTCCCCCAGGCTCCTGCCTGCAGCAGAGAAATTCCTGCACCCAGACTCCAAGAATAATCAAACCTGATTCCCCAGGAACACCAGGAGAATCTGATTCCCTCTGATTCTGAAACCAGGAGAATCACCAGGATACCAGGACACCCCCCTGCAGACCTAGGCATGGACTTGCCATTTTGTTGAAGCACTCTGGACAATCTGGCCACCATTTCTGCTCGCCCAGCATCTGGTGCCACCAGTGTGGGTATCTGGGTGGGGGCCACCCTGATTCCCACTCCAGGAAAGACTCAGCAGGGCTGCACCAGGGAGTGATGCTGTGGAAGGAGCAAAGGAGCACAAGACACTTTGGGATCAAATTCAGCCCAGATGAACAGCCTGGGGGGGGGCTCTAAATGACACTGGCCCAGCCTGGCCTCTGGGCAGCCCAAATTGCTCCTGCAGAGTCTGGGTGAACACATTCCTTGAGGAGACAGTACCGAGGGAAACAGGCCCTTTTGTCACCATTAAGAGGACAAAACCCTTTCTCAGCAGCCAACAAGCTCTGGTGGCCCAGGCAGCAGCACATCCCGAGGGGGGCTGCAATAAGAGCCTGTGCTGCAGGGGGGCTGCACCTCGGCTGCTGGTGGGACAGCTCCTTAACCTCCCGGTCCCTGCTGGGCAGAGTCAGGAGCAAACACCAGCAGCACGAGATGGGCTTTTGTTTATTTCTTTATCCAACCCCAGATGCCATTAAAGCAGCTGCTGGGGGAGCTGGGGCGTAATTAACAATAGTGCTAATCCAGTAAATGCACCACTCCAGCTTCAGGGGGCACGGGAGGACAGTCCTTGGCTCTTGTTTCACCGCTCACATCCTGGAGCCCTTTCCTGAGTTTCTTGGAAGTCACTGACTCACACCAAGGTCAAAGCAAACAAAGCCACCTTTGGAGCACAAACAGCTCAAAACCCAAGTGTCCTCCCAGCTCATTGAATTCTCCATTTGCAGACCAGGTTTGGAAGGCAACAGGCTACACTGAGCAGCCCCAGCCCTGCCAGCAGGACGGGAGCAGAGCTCAGCCCTGGCCCTGCCAGGAGAGCCCGGTGCCACCAGCACCGCGGGCTCTGCAATCCCAGAGGATTTTCCCTGCTACTCAGCAGCAGCTTGGACAGAAAGCCCCGATTTTAACACCTCCTGAAGGGCAGAGGATGGAAGAAAAGCCACAAAGGGAGGCACGAGGCCCCCGTGAAGGGCAAATGTCATTTTTTAAGTTGTTGGCACCACCAGCCAGAGCTGCATTTCCAGCTCAGGAGCTCCCGTACTATCTCCCAGCCGAAATCATCCCATTGCCATGGCAACCGCATCCCCTGCCCGGGCCATGCTAATAACGCTTGGGAGGAGCGTCCAGCTTTTGGGGGGGGGGAGGGGGAAACCCCCAGCCCCTGCCAGGGCTGCAGAGAGAGAAATTCACCCCCGTGGCGCCGGGAAACGGGAGAGCCAAGAATGTGGGGGAGAAAAACCCCAAAATATCGAGGAGGAGGGAACGAGCCCTGGGCTGAGAGCTCAGCTTGGAGCAGGGGCTGGACATTGAGCCCCCAGCCAGGCTGGGGAGGAACTGCCAGGCGTGAGTGCCCAGCCTGAGCTAGAATTAGGTTTCCGTTGCTGTCAAGATGCTGAGGAAACCGGGCAGGGATGAGGCAGCTCCGGGCTC